TGTCACAACTGTTCCTCACAATCCACTGTGTCTGACTCAATTTGACCTCAGAGGAATGTCCATGTCTCTGACCTGAGAGGGTGAGGGGGTGAGGACTCAGAGTGAACCTCTGCTCGGTCACTGCTCTCCTGACATCTATCAACATTTTAGAAGTTCTTTAAAATATTGCACTATGTGACCTTTGAAGTTTGTCTCTTTAGCTAACTAGCACCACCTGCTGGTTCACACATGCACCTTCACAGTCCAACAACACGATCTGAATTAAAGCAGTTTTTGTGGCAGGAAAGGTTTTACATGGACAGGGAATCAATCAAAACCATGACACTGATTTCAAAGACTGGATGAAACATGATAGTGTAGTGACTCCTGTGGAAATGTTTAATGGGTTAGCCCTTTAAAACGGTTGGACAAAAGCCAATAATCACCTTTTCTATTTGTCATCCTTCTATCCAGTTAGGTTAAAAAACAGTCTTCGTGTTGAGAAGGCGTCATAGATGATGCATGGCTTAAATAATCAATTCACTGAGCAACAGAAAAGTCTGTTTTAAAGTGAGAGGAGTGAAATTATAGGTGTCTATGCTAAGTTCTAGGTGGTAAAAAAAACTGATGGAAAAATAATGACAAGAATAGACAAATCTGACATTTGTACTTTGCTTCATTGCACTCTTGCTCTTGCAATAACAACTCACTGACTCAGGAAAACAGCATTGACTGGACAGTTAAAGGTACTGTCTGAGGCTGGAGTCTTGGTAAAGTCTGTTTTAATCATTTTCAGCTTTTCTGAAAAGCCTCTCTCTGCTCTGTCACAGGATAAATTACAAGAAAAAGATATCTTCTGAAACCTAAGACTGACATTGATTTCCGTGTCAGAAGTAAAAGAGCAGGAGATGACAGATAAGAGAACAAAACAACTCACAGTTATTTTTACTAGTCCATTGCACCACAGTAAGCAGAGGCATCAGAGCCCATAAAACAGGTGAATTCTGCCACCTTGTGGTCTTGATGAGAAATCACAGCAAAGCAGAACAATACTTTACTACTGGAGGACAACAGGGCTATGAAATCATCCTCTGCTCTTATAATGAATTAGATTAAAATACATTGATTTGATTTGATTTGATTTGATAAGTTTATTTAAGTGTCATACACCAAAATTGGTGCCCAGCCCACATGGGCTTATTAGACACTGATCAACAGATTCATAACACAATGTATCCAAGACAGCCACGCAACATAATACACAACAACAATAACAACACAACTCCACTAAGAATCGTGACACATACAATGAGAATAATGAAAAAAAAATAAAATAAAAAGTTCATCCTACAGGATACAAAATACTTTGCTGCACATGCCAAGCCTTTTCAACAAATTTGCCAAAACAAAAACATCCTTTTCAAACAACCAACCCAAAATCTCACCTTTACTTCCAAAGTAAATCAGGATTTTTAAACTGAATTGATTCAAAAATGACATTCCTTAAGTCATTGTACAAGGGACAATTGAAAACAAAAAGAAATTCATCCTCAACAACCTGTAAATCACAGAATTCACACAAACGTGCATCTTCAGGAAAACCTTTAAATCGTCCCACTTCTACACTTATACAAAAAAGGTCCTGGAAGGGAAATTGAAAAAAAAAAAGAAAAAGAAAAAAAAAAAACGTACATGAAATAAGAGAATTTTAAAAAGTGTCATAAAAGGGAAGAAAAGTATAAAAAATACCAATAACTGATCACATTATGAGGCAGATTATGCATTGATGAGAAAAATGGTGAGTGGACAAGAGGAGTGTGATCAGTTGCAGTAAGGGACTGCAGCCATAACCAAGTCTCCTTCAGGAGCAACACACAACAGTCAACAATGATAAAACAGACATAAAGTTTGAGAACTTTTTACAGACAGGCAGAGAGATTTCTCTGACTAACAAAACTGGTCTGTCAGTATCTCTGCATAACCAGACACATAACTATAGCGTGTTTTTTGTTGCGAGGCTGCGTGTGACTGGGTTGTTCTTTCACCACGCCTTTATTTTCAAGCCCGTCGCTGGTGCAGCAGAGTGTGGCATACCTCACACAGTGGTATTTTCATCTGGCAGAGCCCGGCGCACAGCCAGTTTGGTATTTTCGTAGACTGAGCAGCACCAAGGGGAGCCATGCTGGGTGTGGTGGCGCGGTAGGAAGAGGTGTCGACAGAATCAGCTAGTGCAGTGATGTTTTCGTGCTTGCCGGCGGTGTAAAAAGTGCGCTGAAAGCTTGTAGATTCAAACCTGGTCAGCTTTTTGCGCAGCTGGTCTAGTGGTATTTAAGTAGATTGGCGGTGTAGTGCGCATATGACACTGATGCCTCACTGGCAGGTTTCCACAGTGTCAGGCACATTTCAGTGAAATAAATAATCAACAACAACCTATTCAGTGTAACTATCTGAGTCGGCACATACATTTAGATCTTTATCGAAATATTCTGATCTATAAGTGATCTGATGAGCGTGTTCGGTACGCATTTGGACACTCCATCTGACTGAATTAACACAGCTGAAACCGCATTCAATTAAATATCCAGTAAATAGTCACCCATTTATTTAATTTTTCTCCCTCCTTTTTCTCTCTCCCTCTTTCTCTTCTTTCTCGCGCAACTTGACCCGGACATGTCTCCCTGCTCTGTCCCCATCCTGCTGCTGCTTCGGCGGCAAGGCTGACCAGATGATTTATTTTAGTGATCAGATGAGTTATTTACTTTGATAATTTGAACAAAAAAATAAAATAAACATTCATTCAAAATTACCTGTTTAACTCATGTTCTCACATCCTTAAAATTCTGTTAATATTCAATACAGAATCAGGCCCACATATGAATATTATAATTTTCAGTTAAGTAAGCCGAGTTCATTTTATATACCAACATCTATGAAAGAAACAGCCAGGCCACAGAGTGCGATGCATCCTTTACGCACAGGTGGTTCCGATTTTAATGCCATTATTGGAATTTATGTTGTGATCGGTGCGCACAACCCACCTTTGTCATGTGGGCTTTAAATATATGCAACTTGATGTGTCTTTTTTTGTGGAAAAGTGTGTTTCTCTTACCAGTGGGTCCAACCTTACACACACCAAATCCCTCTGTGCTTACTTGAGAGTGTGAAGGACACCCCCCACAGCCCTTACCGCAATTCTTGTTGAGGGGCTGACTTCTGTCGCCATTGTGTGGCATTGCTGTCTTCAGCCATCCCTTGATGTCTTCAACTAATTCACGGGAATTGTAATACGCCTCGCTGGTGGCGGATTTAAAGGTGAGGAGATGTGATTGGTGAAAACAGGACTTGGCTGTGTTAAACCCTCCTTTTTTTATTCATTTATTTGAAGACATTACATATTTTTGTCCACCCTCCCCAGCTTGCCTCTTTGGACATGGCAGACAGCCACACTGTTGAGCCTTGCATGTGACATTGTGGAGCGGAGCCACATTTTCAGACACAGTAGAGCACTAGAGCTTCGAACCTCTGGTGCCATGCTCTTTAGTATTTGGGTAAGCTCTTTGATGGTGTTGAACTGATGATTTGATCTCAACATGGCAAGTTGGATTTGTAATGCTTGCTTACACAAACCTCTGGATACAAACCAAGCATGTCAGTGCTGTTTCTGATGTTTCCACATATCAGCAGGTTCTCCAGCCTGACAAGGTTGTTCAGGCCTTCCTGGTCAAACTGATTGGTAAGATAAAATAATTAAATACATCACTTTGATGTGAACAAATAAGTACATATTACCCTTCCATTGTAACAAGTAATCTGAAACCTACAAGATAACCACACTAACTTTGATTTTCTTCTTTATTTGTTTGTTTGTTTGTTTGTTTGTTTGCGAGACCTCACCTCTTCATTCTCAGTCACCTGTTCTGGTAGCTCGTTGTATATTTCTGTTGAACTCTGCTCTTAAACAAAAAATGGAAAAACACACCTGAGATTGATGGTTTTCTGTTTTTTATGCACCTCGGATGTTAAATAATGTTACTATTTTCATATATTTCTTTAATGTTGCCAGATCATTTTAACCTCAGTCAAAGCCAGAGCATGGCTATATGGATGGACACTGTTTTGATAAAATGACTAATAAGGCCAACATGTCTTAACACCAATCAATTACTTAACTTAAGTTGTTGACTATGGTAATGCTAGACATGAAATTGGTCCTGCTAGCTAAACCACAAGGTTTACTCAGTTAGATTCATGGAGTTATTGTACAATAACAGTAACTGTACAAAAACAATGCTATTGGTGTGAGATGGCACTTGGGTTGCACTTCTGCCTTGTGAAAAGCTCTGATGTCGGTTGATTTTCTTTTTGACATGTTGATTTTTGATTAGGTATTTGCTCAGATTTTTTTAATGAATGAAGGAAAAATAATGAATGGCCATATGCAGGTTGTACAGGAGGCGGAAAATCCAACGTAGCAGAATTTTGCTTGAATGATTATATAAGATACTACTACAAATACTACTACTACTACTACTACTACTGAAAATAATAATAATAATGATGATGAAAATTTTTTCAGCCTACAAACAGGAAAAGCTAAGATAGGAAGGCTTTATGCTGTAATTTGTTCTTTCGTTGCTGATTCACAGATTTTTTTGTTATGAAGTTTGATTCATGAGACAGATCATTGTGGTGGCATTTTTTGTGGGCCGACTAGCTGTGTTATTGTTATTGACAATCACATAAAATATGAAATAGGTCTACGCATTTTATAGTAGCCTTACCAAAAGTAAAATCAATCATAATCATCATCCTGATTTTGTTTATGTCGAAATTGTCCTGTAGTCACTGTATTTCAGGTCCTAGATGGTTCTAAATGGTATGTATTACACTACAGCCACTTTATGCAGGTGTCAGAAGGATGGTATATATGTTGATATAATGTTCTCTTGTTTGAATGCTTTTCAATGTGTAGTTTTGTTTCTGTTGGAATTATCTTGTATTCAGTGTGTTTCAGGTCCTAGATGTTCCTAAATGGTATGTTTTACACAACATCAATGTACGGTAGGTGTCTAAATGGTAGGTATTGTGTGTGTTCTTGTTCTCAGGTTCTCTCAGTTCTGCAATAACAGTATTTCAAGTTGGTTAAGTGTCCAAAAAGTATACTGCATAAGTTAAACAAGAAACTGAATATATTCCTAAAAACATTGATGCAATACTAATGCAATACTAATTATCTATCAGCCCTGGTAACTGTTAACCATTTTTATTTTCTGTGAGTTTGCACCCCTGTGACAGACTCTTGAGAAATGGTGATTACATAGTACCGATGGATGTGATGGAAAATTCACTGTACTGCTTTGAAAACTTTTTTTCTTTTTTCTGTACTTGTCTGTCATCAGATTTGTCATCAATATCGACACATTGATGCTGTTGATTACTGAACTGCTCCAGGTTCAGTAGTATGTGCTCACTTACAGGTTCAGCCAGGATCACTTGGAGCTCCTATTTAATGCCATCAGAGTGTCAGGTAGGGCTGATGTTCTGAAATGAATTCAGAAAATATACTTAATATCTTTATGTTATGTTTTGTGGCAAATGTATGTTTTGTGTCCCTGTTTTCCATACAAGGCGGCTGGAATAACACACCATCTGCGGCCCAGTTTCAGGCCATCTTCCGCTGTCTGATGGTTCGGTGTTGTGTCTCACCTAGTGAGACCGGCAATGTGGCAGCCCAAGATAACACTGTCCCTAACAGCTGTGGAGATGTCCTTTGCTGAATCTGCTGAAGAGGACCAATCGCCAACATTCCAGTCATTGTGTGTGACCACTGTTATCTTCCTACACAGTTTGGTGGTCTGGTGGAAATTGTCTACATAGCAGGATTTGTAGTCCAGCAGATTTTGCGAAAGCTGACCTGTGATGTATCCCATGCGACCTTGGTCAGAGGTGCTGTACCATCATCATTTGATGAGAACTACCACCTTCTTGCCCTGAAAAACAACGTCGGCCTAGGGATTTCATCACAAGGGACATTAAAGGTTTGATTTTATTATCTTGTTTTTTCTTTAAAGGGACAACAGGGAGTTTTGGGAAGCAAAGTGTTTTAACACTACATTTCCCATGAGCCTCCTCACACACAGTGAAATTCTTGGCCAGGTGCAAAGTTGAAACATGTGCCAAGAATGTTTTCAAATCAAGAATGGAGTGGAAGGTTTGGAGATGATCAGATCCCGTTGTATCTCCGACTATAAATGGTGTCCCGCCGGACAACAAACCGAAACAAGGAAATGCTGGGCAAAACGCCCACTAATAATAGTACAAAATAACGATAAAGACAAAATGATATATTTATTAAAAATAGATCCATTAACAAGTGTTGGTAATGTAGATTAATCCACAGTAATATGAGACTCTTTTATAACCAAATACAAACTACTTCTTGTCCCTTTAATCTTTTTCTATATTAAAGTTGCTTTGTTCTTTCTTATTTTCTCTGTTCTGTAAAGTGTCTTTAAGCACTGTGTAAAGTGCCACAAAAATATACTATGTTATTGTTTCAGTCAGGACCACTTTAGTCAAAATTAATTATTTATTACAAGCAAATGTGGCGTAATGGAAGGGGGGAGAGATTAGGTATTTTGTTGCCAAACAACGCCACCTGGGGAGTTTCACCCCAGGAAATACAACAGACCCTCTCACTAGAGGTCACACAGATTCGTTACACCCAAACAGAGACACCAAGTAAGACGGACTTCCAAAAAGAATTACACGATTTTATTGATTAAAACTCCTAATTTTAAAAGAACACAATATGAAGTATAATCGTATGAGTACCAGTAAACAATAAATGCAGTAACTAAACAAAAGCAGGAACAAGGAGACTGGGTCACAAACAGACTAACCTAAAAAGGAAAAAAATTCAAAACCAAAGAAACCCACTGCAAACCAAAAGAAATCACTACAAACCAAACATCACGTGCCACGGCAACTAAAGGGAGTGAAGGGGGAGGCCACCACCGGGGAAGTCTGTTCCAAGCTCCTGAAAAAGAAAAAAAAGAAATCAATGATATGGTTGATCACTCAAAAGCAATATATAGAGTTCTGTTAAGAATTGATTTAAATGACCTATTCTAAAAAAACACACACACATACAGCACACTCGTACGCACACACACACAACCACAAAAAAAAAGAATAAACCTAATTTAATTGGGTAATAAACTAAATGGCAAACGAAATCCCGGATATAACTATACAAGATATTAACAGAAAAAAACAAACAAAAAAAAAAGAAACAACAAGAAACTTCCGTTAAATAACAACCAAATCCAAACTAAACAAAATAAACAGTTTCACCCGATAGCCAGTTCGCTAAATAAACAAAATAAACCAAAGAAAAGAAATAATCAAACTCAAGAATAGGTTGTGTTGGGCGAAAACCAGTTCTTTGCGCAGTATGGGACGTCAAAGAAGCAGCAGAGAAACGGAGCGGCCGCACCGGGGCTGGAGGCCTGGGGAAGCCGTCTTTGTGCCCCGCTGGCGACCAAGTAGTGGGTAGAAGTAGAGCCTCGCACAGAGAGGAGAGCCACAGAGGAGAGCCAAGATCTGTGGCTTCAGCAGCCGAGCGAAGTAAGCTTTTACGCACGGCCAAACCAGTCACCGTCTTTTGATGATAAAAAGAGCCAACACCACACTCAAAACACCTCTACCTCCACGCCAGCAGCAGACCACGCCAGCAGCAGACCACGCTTTTCTGTCCCACAATGATCGAACCCAATGACCAGCGGACAATCACACAGCCCGTCGAGTGAATGTCAGGTAGCACTGGGTTGACTGAGAGGACAGAACTTATAAACCTCCCGCCCTGCAATCAAGCCAGGCACCACTGGAGATTGGATGCAGCTGATGCCACTTGAATGGAGGTGCAGCAGCAACCTGCCACATTCCACCCCCAACTTTTGTGTCATCGCCCCGATGACAAGCTATGAGCCAACATACACCCAAAACTAGGACCAAGGCCTAAACAGGACAGACTGAACATTCGCCACAGGCCGTGCCGGTTCGAACATCCCACGCTGCCTGATGCTGATGGGCTGAGGCAGACAGTGGACATTAGAATGTTGACCGGCGGTGGAACGACCAGTTCGACGCAAAGTCAGCTGAGAGGGGCTGGGCTGACCACTCGGGCGAGCAGCCGCCCCATGAGAACCCTCTTGTCCTATACTCAGACCTGGATTTAGCTTGTCCTGTACTGCAGTTATCCCAGCAGGACCGGCGGAGGGGGGAGAAGCTGGTGCCGCAGTGGCAGCGAGTGCCGAGGTTTCACGGGCCAACAGCCATAACTCGCCATCTTCAGGGGAGTCAGAGAGGCCTACAGGCTCAGCCGGAGCAGGTGGAGACAGAGCTCTAGGTGGGTGAGCAACAGAAACAATTTGGGGCTTTAACAGGTCTCGGTGCACCTGCCGCGCCTTATGCAGCTCTGCTACAGGGGCGATGGTGTAAACTGTGCCGTCGCCTGTGGGGGCTCTCAGCACCTGGAAGACCACAGAGCTCCATTTGTCGTGGAGCTTGTGTCGACCCCGAACCCCAAGATCTCGAAGGTAGACCCGCTGGCCGACCTGAAGAGGGGCCTCCTGAACATGCTGATCATGCGGCTCCTTCCATCGATCTGCAGCCGCCAACAACCTCTCACGAGCATTCTCAAATGCCACCTTGAGCCTGGCCTGATGCTCCATCAACCAGTCCTGTACTCCCCCTGGCTCAGGGTCCCGAACCCGGCCCAAGAGAAAATCCACAGGGAGCTTGGGCTCCCTACCAAACATCAGAAAGAAAGGAGATTCCCCTGTGCCCTAGTGCGGCGTGGTGTTATAACAAAACAAAACCTGAGGGAGACAAGAAACCCAATCCCGTTTCCGGGATATTGGCAATGTCCGCAGTAGGTCATGGAGAGTTCTATTGAATTGCTCACACTGCCCATTGCCGGCCGGGTGGTAAGGCGTGGTCCGGGATTTTTCCACCTCATACAGGCAACAGAGCTGGTGAATCAAGGAGCTCTCAAAACTCCGACCTTGATCAGAATGTATACGGCTCGGCACACCAAACCGGAAAAACCATTCAGTCAGCAGAACCCCAGCCACAGTGGCTGCCTGCTGATCCCGGGTAGGGATTGCCACCGTATACTTACTGAACACATCAGTCATTACCAAGACGTTCTCCAACCCATTATGAGAGGGCTCCAACAACGTGAAATCAATGGCGACAATCTCATTCGGACGAGAGGCCAGCAAATGGCCCATGAAACTGCGGGGCACGGATCCTGAGTCCTTTGCAACCTGGCAACGTTCACATGCCCGGACCCATGTAACAGCGCTGCTGCACTAGTTCAGTGGTGCGCTCGATGCCCTGGTGTCCATGATATTGGTGCAACTTTGTCAGGACCTCCTCCTTCAGGACAGCAGGTAAGACCAGCTGGAGGTTCTCCTCTCCCCCGTCCGAATGGACAGTCCGGCGGTACAACACACCCTCCTGCTCGACCAAACGGTCCCACTGCTTTAGCAGCGTCAATGCAGAAGTGGGAAGTTGTTGTCTCTCCTCATACGTAGGTTTAGTCTGCCTCCTCCAAAAGGGCAAGAAATGGTCATGCAGAAGGGGATCGGCCTCCTGCAACGAGCGGAGGTCCGATAGAGAATGTCCCTGAAAAACAGACACCAGTGACTGGACTGCAGGCACCTCGGCGACTGGGCCTGACGCTTGTTGAAAAAGCAGTGAAAAAGCGAAGGTCGGCCCCGCCACCTGTCGGTTCCTGATCAGGCCTTCTTCATCTTTGATCACCTGGAAGGGGAGGCCAGAGAGGAGATCAAGTATCGCCCCCGTGTGGAGAGAGAGAACCCAGACAGGGTTTTGTCCATCCTAACTGAGCTATATGGCTGTGTTCAGTCATATGTGACCCTGCAGCAGGGTCTGCAGCAACAATCCTCTACCCCGGATTGAGGAAAGCCTTGACACCCTTGCTGGAGCTCGCTGGTTCACCACCCTTGACTTGGCGAGTGGGTATAACCAGGTCCCTGTAGCAGAGCAGGACAAGCCTAAAACGGCCTTTTGTACACCTTTTGGTCTGTTCGAGTGGAACCGTATGCCGTTCGGCTTGTGCAATGCTCCAAGCACCTTTCAAAGGCTTATGCAAAGGATGTTTGGGGATCAACAGTGTCAGTCCTTACTTTTGTATTTGGATGACATTATTGTCTTTTCGTCTTCAGTCCCCCAGCACCTGCAGCGACTGGAGGTGGTCTTGAGTCGGCTGCAGAGGGAAGGCTTGAAGGTCAAGCTGGAGAAGTGTGCCTTTTTCCAGAAGGAGGTCAGTTATCTGGGGCATATCATCTCCCATCAAGGAGTGTCCACTGACCCTGCCAAGATTGAGGCGGTGGAAAAATGGCAGCGTCCCCGCCATGTGTCAGAGCTGCGTTCGTTCCTGGGGTTTGCCAGCTATTACAGGCGGTTTGTTGAGGGGTTTGCTAGACTGGCGGGGCCCCTACATAAGCTGGTGGCAGAACTTGCAGGGTCATGGTCCAAGCGAGGCTCTGGGCGGGAGCTGAGTTCAGCATGGACACCCCAGTGCGAGCAAAGCTTTGAGGCCTTAAAGGCTAAGTTGATTTCGGCCCCAGTGTTGGCCTATGCAGACTTTTCACGCCCATTCATCCTCGAGGTGGATGCAAGTCACAGTGGTCTGGGGGCTGTCCTTTCGCAGGAGAGTGATGATGGTGTTCGGCTGGTAGCATATGCCAGCAGAGGCCTTCGACCCACGGAGCGCAATATGGACAACTACAGTTCAATGAAGCTGGAGTTTCTCGCGCTTAAGTGGGCAATGGGAGAGAAGTTTCGGGAGTACCTGTTGGGGCACAAGTGTGTAGTCTTTACAGACAACAACCCCTTGAGTTACCTTAACTCTGCCAAGTTAGGGGCCACGGAGCAGCGGTGGGCATCCCAACTAGCTGCTTTCGATTTTGAAATCAGGTACCGCTCCGGGCACAGCAATAAGAACGCTGATGCTCTCTCCCGGCAGTATTTGTCAGGGTCCAGCCTGGCTGAACGTGTGCTACCTGGCACTTCGGTCCCACTGCTTTTTCAACAAGCGTCAGGCCCAGTCCCCGAGGTGCCTGCAGTCCAGTCACTGGTGTCTGTTTTTCAGGGACATTCTCTATCGGACCTCCGCTCGTTGCAGGAGGTCGATCCCCTTCTGCATGACCATTTCTTGCCCTTTTGGAGGAGGCAGGCTAAACCTACGTATGAGGAGAGACAACAACTTCCCACTTCTGCATTGACGCTGCTAAAGCAGTGGGACCGTTTGGTCGAGCAGGAGGGTGTGTTGTACCGCCGGACTGTCCGTTCGGACGGGGGAGAGGAGAACCTCCAGCTGGTCTTACCTGCTGTCCTGAAGGAGGAGGTCCTGACACAGTTGCACCAAGATCATGGACACCAGGGCATCGAGCGCACCACTGAACTAGTGCAGCAGTGCTGTTACTGGCCTGGGATGTCTGCTGACATCCAGAGATGGGTCCGGGCATGTGAACATTGCCAGGTTGCAAAGGACTCAGGATCCGTGCCCCGAAGTTTCATGGGCCATTTGCTGGCCTCCCGTCCGAATGAGATTGTCGCCATTGATTTCACGTTGTTGGAGCTCTCTCATAATGGGTTGGAGAACGTCTTGGTAATGACTGATGTGTTCAGTAAGTATACGGTGGCAATCCCTACCCGGGATCAGCAGGCAGCCACTGTGGCTGGGGTTCTGCTGACTGAATGGTTTTTCCGGTTTGGTGTGCCGAGCCGTATACATTCTGATCAAAGTCAGAGTTTTGAGAGCTCCTTGATTCACCAGCTCTGTTGCCTGTATGAGGTGGAAGAATCCCGGACCACGCCTTACCACCCGGCCGGCAATGGGCAGTGTGAGCAATTCAATAGAACTCTCCATGACCTACTGCGGACATTGCCAATATCCCGGAAACGGGATTGGGTTTCTTGTCTCCCTCAGGTTTTGTTTTGTTATAACACCACGCCGCACCAGGGCACAGGGGAATCTCCTTTCTTTCTGATGTTTGGTAGGGAGCCCAAGCTCCCTGTGGATTTTCTCTTGGGCCGGGTTCGGGACCCTGAGCCAGGGGGAGTACAGGACTGGTTGATGGAGCATCAGGCCAGGCTCAAGGTGGCATTTGAGAATGCTCGTGAGAGGTTGTTGGCGGCTGCAGATCGACGGAAGGAGCCGCATGATCAGCATGTTCAGGAGGCCCCTCTTCAGGTCGGCCAGCGGGTCTACCTTCGAGATCTTGGGGTTCGGGGTCGACACAAGCTCCACGACAAATGGAGCTCTGTGGTCTTCCAGGTGCTGAGAGCCCCCACAGGCGACGGCACAGTTTACACCATCGCCCCTGTAGCAGAGCTGCATAAGGCGCGGCAGGTGCACCGAGACCTGTTAAAGCCCCAAATTGTTTCTGTTGCTCACCCACCTAGAGCTCTGTCTCCACCTGCTCCGGCTGAGCTTGTGGGCCTCTCTGACTCCCCTGAAGATGGCGAGTTATGGCTGTTGGCCCGTGAAACCTCGGCACTTGCTGCCACTGCGGCACCAGCTTCCCCCCCCTCCGCCGGTCCTGCTGGGATGACTGCAGTACAGGCCCAGCTAAATCCAGGCCCGAGTATAGGACAAGAGGGTTCTCATGGGGCGGCTGCTCGCCCGAGTGGTCAGCCCAGCCCCTCTCAGCTGACTTTGCGTCGAACTGGTCGTTCCACCGCCGGTCAACATTCTAATGTCCACCGTCTGCCTCAGCCCATCAGCATCAGGCAGCGTGGAGTGTTTGAACCGGCACGGCCTGTGGCGAATGTTCAGTCTGTCCTGTTTAGGCCTTGGTCCTAGTTTTGGTGTATGTTGGCTCATAGCTTGTCATCGGGGCGATGACACAAAAGGTGGGGGTGGAATGTGGCAGGTTGCTGCTGCACCTCCACTCAAGTGGCATCAGCTGCATCCAATCTCCAGCGGTGCCTGGCTTGATTGCAGGGCGGGAGGTTTATAAGTTCTGTCCTCTCAGTCAACCCAGTGCTACCTGACATTCACTCGACGGGCTGTGTGATTGTCCGCTGGTCATTGGGTTCGATCATTGTGGGACAGAAAAGCGTGGTCTGCTGCTGGCGTGGTCTGCTGCTGGCGTGGAGGTAGAGGTGTTTTGAGTGTGGTGTTGGCTCTTTTTATCATCAAAAGACGGTGACTGGTTTGGCCGTGCGTAAAAGCTTACTTCGCTCGGCTGCTGAAGCCACAGATCTTGGCTCTCCTCCGTGGCTCTCCTCTCTGTGCGAGGCTCTACTTCTGCCCACTACTTGGTCGCCAGCGGGGCACAAAGACGGCTTCCCCAGGCCTCCAGCCCCACGCGGCCGCTCCGTTTCTCTGCTGCTTCTTTGACGTCCCATACTGCACAAAGAACTGGTTTTCGCCCAACACAACCTATTCTTGAGTTTGATTATTTCTTTTCTTTGGTTTATTTTGTTTATTTAGCGAACTGGCTATCGGGTGAAACTGTTTATTTTGTTTAGTTTGGATTTGGTTGTTATTTTACGGAAGTTTCTTGTTGTTTCTTTTTTTTTTTTTTTTTGTTTTTTTCTGTTAATATCTTGTATAGTTTTATCCGGGATTTCGTTTGCCATTGATTGATTGACACCTGGTACAGCCTATGGGCGTTCAGGGATTGCATAGCTCTCCCGGGGGGATACGCTGTTTGAGCCGAGCGTCATCACAGGGACTCTCGGCGACTGCACGGCCGAATGCGCACAACGCTACTGCACAGCTCTGGTTTCAAGGAAGTGGAGAAAAACCCGGAATTACCGAGAGCTTTTTGGCTTCAAATCTGTATACAGGCGTCAGGCGGAACCACGTTGTCCATCTTATATACAGTCTACGGATTGAAAGAATTAGTATGCGTAGTGAATTCACTACCTCCGAGAAACCCATAGAAAGCTGTGAGGAACGCTGTTCCAAAGCAAATCAGTATAAGGACCAAAGCAACCACCTCTTAAATAAGTGATTAGGTTTTTAGAAGTGGGAAAGTAAAGGGGAGACGTTTATCTTTGTCTTGCGGCCGTTCCCTCTTTCAGCCATTGAGCAGGAGACAAATAGGTGGGTTTTCAAGCAGGCTGGTGGTAGATGGGTTCAGACAGCACAGATGGAACTGAATACCTGCTACAAGTCCTTTTATGGAGGATGGCAATACTTGCAAGATTCAAAAGAGTGGACTATTAAAGCACATACAATGGATATGTTCAAGGGCAGTGGAGCTACAGAGAACGTTGTACAAAAGAGGTAAAGTAAAACCATGCAAAAACACATCAACTTAAATGCTGATTTTGCTTAACCAGGTCTCGTATAGCGGGCAGCAGAGAGTACATATGTTTGCAAGGCTGCACTCAGACTAACACAGTCTGAATGACAGGGGGACAGGTTCAGGCTGGATGGCGCTGACTCCAGGCACAGCTTGCGGAATTTCTGAAGTTTGAATCTGGACAGGAATTAGCAATTTGGTTATACAAGACTTAAATATGGACTGCTCGAATAATAAATTTACCTAAGACATAGGACAGGGTAAAGCGTCTCATAAACTCATTGATAAATGGGACTGAAGTGTGCCTTTTGTTAATGGTATTAACAGTTGCCTCATTGTCACACACACAAAAAAAAAAAATCTGGTTCAACTCTACACAGTCCAGTTGCCTGTTTTTAAGTCTTCAAGAAAACCATGACCTGGATGAATGAGAATCTACATGGAAATATTCAATCTGTATAATTACTAATTAGAGGATGCTTTAAACCTAGCAGAGGACTTATTACTGACTGACTTGGTGCACAAGGAACAATACAACTATGATCATGACAGCTTAGGCAGCCTGCCCCTTAATAAAATCTTAAAATACAAAATAAAATAAAATAAATTGAAGCAAATCAAATACAACATGCACCAAAAAAATATTCTCTTTTTTTTCCATTGAAAAAGTTAAGTTTGTCTCATTTTCTCTTTTTTTTGGGTTGATAAGCAAAGTCCATCAACATGTTAAAGCCATTCCTTTTCAATGTGGCAGAGGACTGTGGGGAGGCATTAGGTCCTGCAGAGGACCGATGGGAGATTTGGGTTACTGCAGATGACTGAAATGAAGTTTTTGTGGTGAGACGCCTCCTCCTCTTGTTTTATTTGGGCTGGACTTCCTATGTTTCCTTGTTTGCCTGGTCTGGCTTTACTCTCTTCCAGAGCTTCCTCCCCTCCCCCAGTCGCTGAGGCTGAGTGAGACTACACACCTGCTCCACATCTCCAATCAAGGCACTTTAAGAAGCCTGCAGCCCTCAGCCTCAGCGCCTGAGTATTGTCTTCACTTCCATGTGGTATAGACACGTCTCCTGGCCTCCTTTCTTTGAATTTGAAATCGTAACTCTGATCCTGATTCATTGTATGTTCACTTACCTCCTTCTCCTCTGGTCTTTCCTGCAGTGTCTCCAGCCCACACGACAGCCAGCCAACTAGCCTACCGGACTTCCTCTTTTTGCATTTACAACCCTTGTTTGGACATTAAATTACAACTTAAGTTGATCTCTGTCTCCGTGTCTGCTTCTGGGTCTTCCCCACTCACCAGCTACACCACAGAATACTCAGGCCAGGATAATGGACCCAGCAGACCTGGATAGGGTTCAGCAAGCCATCCAGAAGCTCGGTACTCGGCTCGGTCAACATGAGGATATGCTCCAGGGCCTCAATCATTCTTTTCAAGGCCTCTCTGTTCAAGTAGCGCAACTGGCGGAGCAACTAATCTCTCGGCTTCCACCGCAGCAAGCTGGATCTCCCCCCTCTGTGAGTACAGTCCCCTCTTCACCTTCTCCACCACCCTCTATCATCAAAGAGCCCTATGTCCCTCCTCCTGAGCCGTATGCTGGGGAGATTGGGGGCTGCAGAGGTTTCCTGCTCCGCTGCGCATTAGTCTTCGACCAACAGCCCACTAGTTACCCCTCAGATCGGTCTAAGATAGCCTACAGGATAAATTTATTGAGAGGCAAAGCCGCCAAGTGGGCTACGACCGTCTGGGATAGGGAATCGCCCATGTTCTCCTCTTACACCCGATTCTCGGAGGAGCTTCGTAAAATATTAGATTTTCCTGTCGAAGGCCCTGAATGTACCAAACATTCACCATGATCTGGCCATGGTGTTCAGTAAGGAGCAGTCTCTCGTCCTTCCTCCTCATCGCCCATATGACTGTGCCACAGATCTGCTCCCTAGCGCCCCTCTCCCCAGTAGTAGACTGTACAATCTCTCTCGGCCCGAACGAGAGGCCGCCACTGGATAAAGAAAGTTGTCTTAAAATATGTCTTGTACTCCTGATATGAAACAGGGTATGGGTGTAGTCTCCTTTCTTCAGTCTCTCGCCACGATCATCGGCTCAAAATCCTCACAGACACTCATAAAAATAAAATCTTCTGAAAGTTTGAGGAAATGGTCAGCCTCAATGCGATACATTTCAGGCCCTGTACCGCTGATCCATTGTGATATATAAAGCACCTCAGGAAAACCAGGCTGATGAAGGTCTCTGCAGGCCACAGAGCGAAACAGTTTTCAGTCTTTTACAGACAGACTTACGTTTAGCCCCTGCTCTTTGCTCTCACTCTTTACACACAGCGTAACATGGCAATGGGATATTTAAGGATTTGGTAATGCTTTATATTAAGGTCCTTGTAATAAGCATTAGTTAATAGGTAATAAGGCCCTTATAAGTGCGTACAAGATGCTTATTAACATTATTATTCATTCATAAGACTATATATCTATTACTACACTCACTATAATACAGTTATTAACAGACTTTAAGAGATTTATATGACTTATAAGAAACTTGTTAACTGTTTGTTGATGCTTAAGAACATTAATAAAATCCTCATGAGCATCATATAACTGTTTATAATAACATTATAAACACATATATTGACTCAACTAGCCCAACCATGATGTCTTTATCATGCCTTTATTAATCTTTTTGTTTGATTTATTAACATTAATATATATTTTATTGCTCATCTATTGCAAGTTAACTAGGCACTTGTTTACAGTTAACTGTGCTTTTTGCAGGTACTGGATCTAAAGCGAGAACAATGTCTTATCAAGGCTGATAAATCTTATATTGAGCATTATGTCTTTAAGAATATTTTTTTTCCTGCTTTATCAAAATAAATTTTACTTTATTATGCCCTTGTTATCAGTTAACTATGCACTTGTTAACAGTTAACTATGCTTTTTGCAGCTACCAGACCTACAGCGAGAACAATGCCTTATTAAGGCTCATAAATCTTCTATAATACATTTATTTATGGCTAAAAAAAAAACACCTACAAATGGCTTTTGGGGGGAGGACACTTTCTAGCTTTATGAACTTGGGCATATTATGTAAAACATCAATTAACGTGGAAAAGTACAAATTTGCAAAGTGCAACATTAATTTTTATTCATAATTATTTTACACAAAAATAAAAATCACCTAAAACAGGTGTTTGATAAAAGTACACTCTCTAGAATATATAATACGATACAAAACATCAATGAAGTGCAAAACTGAGTTGTTTTTTTTTTAATTCCACTGAACATTTTACATTTAAACATTTTACAAAGCACTCTTAAAACATGTGCAATTTGCTTCAAAAGGAAGTCAAACATCCCCCTTTCCAACAGGCAACAGTTTTTCTGATTTCTTAATTGCCGGTATCTTACTGTCTATATCTGGACAGTGTGATCCACTCCCACTATTTAACCTTCATTTTAGCCTATGGCTGTATCATGTAGTAGCCGACCAAGAGAACCATCTTTGTGTTTCCTGCCTAGCCCTTCAGTCCACTCAATGAGACAAAGATGGTCAGACAGTAAGTGTTCAGTTTGGTTGCCTCATTGCCTCCAAACTTGCTCCTTCATACTCCGCCATGCTCTTTCTATGTGCTGTGTATGGGCACCTGTTTGGGGATCTACAGTGCATCCGGAAAGTATTCATACCACTTCACTTTTTCCACATTTTGTTATGGTACAGCCTCTTCCAAAATGGATTATATTCATTTACATCTTACACAAAATACCCCAATGACAAAGCGAAAAACCTTTTTTAGATCATTTTGCAAATTTATTAAAAATAAGAACACTCAAATGTTGCATATACATAAGTATTCACACCCTTTACTCAATACTTGGTCAAAGCACCTTTGGCAGCGATTACAGCCTCCAGTCTTTTTGTGTATGATGCAACAAGCTTGGCACACCTGGATTTGGGGAGTTTTTCCCATTTTCCTTGCACATCGTCTCAAGCTCAGTGAGGTTGGATGGGCAGCGTCGGTGCACAGCTACTTTCAGGTCTTTCCAAAGATGTTCAATCAGGTTTAAGTCTGAGCTCTGG